GTACATTTTAGGTATACAATACAGTTACATTCATCATTGGGACCTTGTACCTTTATATGACTTATCTTGGTTCTTATTTTTTCCCCATTCCCCTGCCCTCCCTTCACCCGCTCCACCCTTCCTTATTTACAGAGACTTTGTTTCCATTTTTTCTTTTTCTCTTATTTTTTCTTTTCTCTTCTTAGTTTTCCTCCACCCCTCCCACTTCCCCTACATCTTTAGACATATTTTCTTATTGCACAATATCAATTATACATTTTAATTCTAATTTATACTTTTAATTTATCACACCTGAGAAACTATATGGTATACTCTTTATTTAGCTGACTACACGTTCTAAAAAATTCTTTTTATCATTTCCATAATATCTAACTACTGTAATACTTACCATTTTCACTTTACCTTTACTAGACCTCAATGTTGTTTAAAGTGTGTGTGTGTGTGTGTGTGTGTGTGTGTGTGTGTGTGTCTGTGTGTGTTATACATATGCAGGTATCATTCTTTTTCTGAAGTTTTTTCCATTTAATTTGTTATGTCTTCCAGATGATTTTCTCACTCTCCAAAGGTACATTATGCCAGATGTGGTGGTACTCTAGGTACTCTACTGTAGTTCCAGTATGTGGAAGGCTGAGATGGGAGGAGCTTAAGTTCAAACCCAGCCTGGGCAACTTAATGACTTAGCAAGACCCTATCTCAAATTTTTAAAAAATTAAAGAGGAGTGGAGAAAGCTGGAAATGTAGCTAAGTGTGAAGACCCCGGGTTCAATACCCAGTTCCACCAAAAAAAGCCACATTATATTTGGCATCTTCCTACAGAATAGAAAGTGTCAATATAGTTAACATTTCCCATCTCCAAAATGTTCATTTTGAGAAATATTTTTTGAAGACATATTATATTTTCATTATGCTTAGAAGTTATTTATATCATTTTAAAAATAGAAACAAATTGTATATTATCTTTATTATCATTATATAAAAATCTCATTTCTATTAATTATTTTATCTGAGTTGATCATAGATCAATTAATTATCAACTAAATACACGTTGCTCTTTTTAAAATGTGTTCAAGAGATAGTCTTTTTTTTCCTAAGTTAGCAGCTGTCCTTTTTACCATTAACAGAAGTCTATTCAGACCTAAAAGTTTATATTAAATTATCTTGAAAAGATTTTAACTTATAAAACTAGGTTTTAGAAATTAATGAATTATTTGTAAACCTTTTATAAAAAGAGATGGTCTTGATATAATGTAATCATTGCAAATCATTTTATAGATGATACTTCCTCATTTGAAGAGCTATAATTGTGTTCAAGGAGGAATTATATTATAATATGTCCTAAAATTGTGTTCAAGGAGGAATTTTATTATAATATGGAAACAATACAGTAGAAATGGTATAATATAGCCTTTAAAATAGCTTTATCACATTGTTCCATTGTATATGGCCTTTTCCTTGTGTTTGTTAAAACGTCTTGCTTTTTCATGAAGTATGAAATGCACATTTTAAGAATATCAGATGAATTCACAGACAGCAAGACACCCAAAGATCTATTTTTAATATAATTTCATGCACCTATTTCAATAAAGAGTTCAGAAGACAGAAAAATAAATTTATCTTGATAGCCTTTTTTATTTCTATAATGGATTTTCTTTTCTACCATCTACTTGATAATCTTTTGATAACCACATAAGAAATTCTTAGAATTCCATTTGACTCATTGTATGGCTAAGGCCATATACTTAGAATCACCTGGGAAATTTGTTAGAAATGCAGGTTCTAGGTCTGACACCAAGTCTCCCATATCACAATTTATAGAAAGAGGGCCAAGGCAAACAAACTCCAAAGATGATTTGGACACCTATCAAGGTTTGTAAAACACAGCTTTAAAATTTACAAGAGTGGAAGTTGAACATCAAGGCTAAAACTTCTTTCTTGTTTCTTAAATAGCAGTTATGGGCCGCATAGTGAGTTCAAGACCAGCCCGAACTACATAGCATAACTTTGTCTCAAAAAATACAAAGCAAAAAATAGCATAGTTAAAAACACAGACACAAAATGAAGGGGTATAAGTCCTGAGAATTTTGTCATTTCTTTCTTTTGAAAAAAAAAAGGGGTGGGTGTATCCTAAATTGAAAATAGACCTGTTTGGTTTCAGATGTTTTAAACATATGTAGAGAAGATTAAATACAATGAGAGAAGACTGATATTTTTCCATTAAGGTAGTTATGCAGTAACAATAATAAACTGTTATTTGCAGAAAAAAATCAAGTTTTAATCATTTCTCTATTTTGAGGGAGTTCAGTTTCATCTAGCCAATTGGTTATGTAAGTTGACTAATTAAATAAACGTTCTTAGGATAAAAATGTATCCACTAATCCTTAGAGAAGAAAAAGTAAACATAGCAACCTAAGAAATATAATTGTATGTTAGGTATTCAGAAGCTTGTTGTTTGTCCTAATCCCATCATTAAACATTTTTTAAAGGATCTGAAAGCTAAAATTCTCATATATAATAGTCAAATGAGAGGCTTAACATTGGCCAAAACTCAAAATGACCAAAATGCTGATCTCCATATACAGAAGGTCTTACACTCCTACAAGAGACACATGTCTATTTAAGGGAACATTTAAGCACCTAATTTAAGTGCAAAATTAAGACTGCTTGGGGGAATTTTTTCTAAAGAAATCTGATGAGATGGCTGAGTTTGTCATGTAGAGAACACTTCAAGGATAAATCTCCTAATTTAGGTCCAAAGTGTCTAACCTAGGCACAAATGTAGTGATAGTGACAAAAGATTTGGAAAGATAAAAACAGGAGCTAAAGGAAATGACCAGAAGCCAAAGTTTAAACCTAGTAGATCCACAAAGAGAGTTGCCAGATAATATACACAGTGCTCAGTTACTTTAGAATTTCAGATATATAGGTAATTTTTAGTATCAGTATACTTGTAATATATAATATGTAGTATAATCTTTATATATTATTGGGAACATATCACATATTCTGTTGCTTAGCTGAAGTTCTAATTGGGCACCACATATTCTTATTTGTTAAATTTGTCAACTCCACATACAAGGTGCCTTGCACAACCCTCTACACCTCAAGGAAATAGTACTTAATAGCCACGATTATTTTATTATCTTTTAAGAGGATTGCTGCTACCCACCACATCTTGCTAAATTGTAAAAGTAGTGTTTCTGTTGTGATCCTTTTTTTTTTTTTTTGGCTTATCTTCTTATTTACACAAATTATCATGTGACACACATTAAAATGAAATTGAAATAAAAAGGTATGAGACTCAAAAGAGGTGTCAATAAAACAGACCACAACAAGGAAAGTGTAATGATTAAATACATCTTTAGGAGACCTCCACCTGGCACATAGTAGTTCTTAATAAATAGTTGCTTGACTGCATGAAGCAGTGAAGGAATAGAGAAAAACAAAGTCTTTACTCTGACAGTCTTCAAGTCAAACCATTCAAAGTTGTGGTTATCTGATTTCATAAGATCTTGTGAGGAGTTTTTAGCTCTGAAAACCCACCATCTATGGAGTCAGTAGAGACATTTGAACATACCACCTTGACCCGTAATTTACAGAACTTTCCAATGGTTCGTATTATATAGCCTTGTTGCAAAGTCTTGCCTCACAAACCACCATCACCATAAAACTTGTTGAAAGGCTGAATGTAACAATCCCTACCACCTCAAAGTGGGAATGTTAACAAGGTCCTGAGAGATAGAGAGCACATTTTTAAACATGGCAAAGTGCACCTAATTCAGAAACCAATGTTTTGTTTTTTTTTTTTGCGGGGGGGGAGTTGTTTTGTTTTGTTTTGTTTTTTGTTTTTTTGTTTGTTGGTTGGTTGGTTGGTTTTTTGAGACAGGGTCTCTCACTATGTAGTTGAGACTGACCTGTAACTCATTACATAGCCCAGGCTGGTCTTGAACTCACAGGAAACTCCTGCCTCAGCCTCCCGAGTGCTGGGATTACAGGCATGCACCACCACGCCTGGTCTAATTTTTTTTTTTCATTATGGGAAATTCAGCATTGCAGACCAAAGTTATAAATTAATCCCACCAATTCATACATTCTAAATTAATTCACTATTCCTCCAAAGGATAAATAGCTTAGAAAATGCAGAGGTCCCATGATTTTGGAATCATACAACTAGAATTAAAAAAACTTTGTAATTTATACTAAGTTCTAGTTAGATAGAAGTAAGTTCTGGTATATTCTTGCACAGCTGGGTGATCATAGATAACAATAATGTACTGTCTATGCCTCAAAAAGCTAGAAGAAAAGATTCTAAGTGTCTTCACCATAAAGAAGTGATAAATATTTGAGGAGATAGATATGTTTAACTGGATTAATGTATTATATAATATATACTAGTATTGAAACATCATTGGTATCCTAAGACACATAATTTAATGTTTGAATGCGTCAGTTAAAACAAAAACAGAAAATTATATTTTAAAATGTTTGTGCTATGGTTAAAGAAATAAATGTCATTATTCTTCCAAGAATTTCAGTCTTTACAATAAAGTTAGGAAGATCATGAACAGTGACTCTTAATCTGCTGTTTTTGTTTAATGCTCCTTTGAGAAGTTGATGAACGCTGCAATGTTGCGCTATAAAAGAAGCATATGTCATATACTCAGAATTTTACAGTTTTGGAAATAAATGACCATGCCCCATGAACTCAATGGTCCCTTGGATGTTCACGCAGTCAACTGAATTCTGCCTTCTGCACAGAGTTGGAGTTTGTTTAATAGTACAGTTTTTACATCTCTCCCTTCACCATATAAAATTGATGGATGCATAAAGGATGAGTGGGCTGGACAGGCAAACGAACTTTGTCATACACTCACATGATTTTTGCTTTATTATGCTACTGAACTTATCCAAGGGGTCTTCTTTTTTTTAAGTAAAGTTGCTTTCATGTGATGAATCCATAAAATACGTGAATAATTTTTGCAACTGTCCTTCCTTTACCTCAGCTCATTTGGAAGCAGAAGTTTCAGTGAGGAGCGCTAGAAACACAACTCCTCCTCAGATCTCCATTACATTGAATGCAGTTCCATACAGCCCAGAACACATTGTTAGGAACACCACAGAGGCCTTCTTCAGGAATACCACAGAAAACAACAGCCAGAACAGCAGCCAGAGGCATCGCCCCAATCTACAAATGACTGAAGTTGCAGACACTTCATGGGTTCCATCGACGACTCAGCCTTGCTGCAGCACCACTAAAGAGGTAAAGGGAGTGGGGGAGGGTTGATTGTAAATGATCAGAAAGCCCACTGCTTGCAAAGACTTGCTCTGCTAAAATGCATTCACTGCAAAGAGGGAGCAGGCACTTTGTGTCCTAGCTACAAATTGTACATCAATGCATTTTGCACAATGAGAAAATCCTTGAAGTTAAATTGAAATGTCTACATCTTTATAAGGTAAATGTATTTAGACCATCAAGACATGACTGCAATCCTATGAACTTGCTTTATTTCTGAACCAGGGAGCATGGTCTTACACATGACCTAAAACCAGGAAATATGAGTTGAAATCAGTACCTTGCAAATGATCTTGCATGTATGTCATAACTGTTTATACTGTAAGGGAGAGCAAAGAGTCACAAAGCAATGGCAGGTTCAGGAATGACTATGCTTCATTTGAGAGCACAATCAAAGGTAAGCAAAAGTCGCATGCCGTTTCTACATCAGTATCCTATGAGTATGACTTACCTATGATCTTTAATCCATAAAGTGACATATAAGTCAAATTGAGAAGCAGTAATGGTAGGGTCAGAAGAAGGCGCTCAAATAGTATTTCCGTTTTCAGTACTCATCACTTTGGTTCTGCTTTCATCTCAGAGTTTTGAATCACCATTTAGGCAGTGAAATATAATTACAGCAAATTAAAGAAGCTCACATTTGGGGAGTGGGAGTATAGTTCAGTGGCATGTGCTTAGCATGTGCCAACTCTAGGTTTAATCCCCAGCACCAAAACAAAGAACAAAAAATAAAGTTTAGGTTTCACTTGGCAATATTTAGCTATTTCCTAATATGCAACTCGAATAATTTAAAGGAAATAAAGACCCAACAGAGCTCAATGACATAACATCCATTTGATGTTTTCATTTCTTTTGCATTGTGTAGAACTTCATTGCACATGTGGATGCCAGCTAGTGAGCACATAATTCATTAGTGATCACAGCAAACTCATGGACTTTATTTTTACCTCCACTTTTCATTTACCATGAATCCTCCTTCTGTCTAACCTATTTCTTTCTTTGCCTCCGAATAGAAGTTAGTGAGATCCCATTACTTTCCTGGAAACTATAGCACTTTAAAACTCTGCACTCAACCTCTATCCATTAATAAAATGATCCACACCAGTAACCTAAACTTTAAATTTGACTTAAAGGTTAGTTCCTCCTCTCACATCATTCCACCCAGTTTGGGCTTAAAGTAAGGAGAGGAGAGCATGACCAAAGTTTCTTATTCACCACCTACATTTTCACCCACAGCTCAGAGCTTGATAATTATGGTTCACATCTTTCTGGGCTCAGAAAGTGGAAAAGGAAATGTGAGCAGAAGAGCAAAGATTTAAGAATGCTGTCATGAACTGGCACAATGCTCTCTCCACTTCTCCTATGTCTGAACCCTTTCAGCCACTAATGTGAGAGACCTACTACTTACTTTTGAAAATGAACACCTTATTGGTGGAGTATCTGTTTATTTTGGCTGATTGTGCCTCAAGCAAAATTTACGTTGTAACATTAGTTCATTCATATATTCATTCACATATATGTATTAATTCATATATTTCATATTAAGAAACATATTGAATGAAAACTACCATAAAATCATATCCTCCGGAACACTACAAGATTATACTTTAGCAAAAAGAATTTTCCCCAGGTTTAAATGCAGTGAAACACAGGGAAATGTCCAAGAGGTAGATGGCTTCATTGAATTATGTCCCAGACAACAAGTTACAGAGCTCTGTTTCAGGAACTCTACAAATTGAACAAACCCAGCACTATATTACTGAACTCACATGATCCAGCCCCGAGTTGGGTTTTCAGCCTTGGATCACAACAATCATTCAGGTGATTTTTTAAAGGCCTTTTTTTGAGAATGAAATCGACTTGGGTATATATGAGCTCCAGATGCGACACCAGCATGACTATGCAGCCAACTACCTCATATGGTAGCTTTTTTTTTTTTAAACTCAGGCAAAATGTTGTCCTGGGGAACTAGTATGTAAAAGCTGTGCTCTTTCCAAAGACAGTTTATACAACTGTAGTGCTCTATGTCTGTAAAGATATGTGGATATCTTTGCTAACTCAGCATTTACTTTACAACAGTCATCTATAAACAGCTATAGTTAGATATTTTGATTTTGCATTGTTTTTTTTTGTTTTGTTTTTTGTTTTTGGTACCAGGGATCGAACTCAGGTCCTTGCGCTTGCAAGGCAGGCCACGGAACCACTGAGCTAAATCCCCAGCCCTAGTTAAATATTTTGAAATATAAAAATTAGCCAATTAGGATATAAAATGTCAATCCTTTGAAAGCAATTTCAAAAGATTTAACCTTGACAAAGGTTCCTAGAAAAGGATAAAAGAATAAAATCATTCAACTTAGTTTCTTGAAATTGTGTAAAAAAAAATCTCTGCACATATGTTTTCATTATCATAGGAACACCTGGTCGGTGAGGATTTCAAATTCACTAATCTAAATGAGCTGTGGATTCAGAGTTATCTGTTCTTGAGTGAATACAGGAAAAATCTGAATGAGTTTTGCAGGTTAAGGATTGTATCTTATAAGAAAAATGTATTGCCAACATTTGAAATTGCATTTGATATATAATAAAATCTTACGAGAATAAAAAGAGAGGGACAAAGTGGCCTGGTGCCAACTGGAATGGAGGTGAGGAGAGTGACATGGAGTGGAGCGTCACGGCATAGAGTGAAATGCCACGGAACAGACTGGAGTGGCGTGGATGGGGTTGAGTGAAACAGAGTAACAATGGAGATAGTGTTATGTGTAGAAATGCTATGGCAGCACCACTAATTAACAGTTACAGTGGACTGGGAATTTAGCTCAGTGGTGCCACACCTCCCTTAGAAGCACAAGATCCTGAGTTAAATCCCCGGTGCCAGGAAAAAAACAATTATCACTTATGGAGTGATCATAGCGTCCTAGAGCCACAATCAAAGGATGAGTTGAAATTGGAAATGGGTGGAGATGTCACAAAACACTTCCAAAGAAAAAGTGGCATGGGCCAGATATGGTGGTGTACACCTATAATACCAGCATTTGGGAGGCAGAGGCAGGAGGATCACCATGAATTTGAGGCCAGCCTGAACTACATAGTGAGCTCAAGGCCAGCCTAAACTACAAAGCAAGACCCTAACTCAAAAAAAAAAAACTGGCATGTACAGTATTTGTTTCCTTCCTGTCATTGACAAAAACTTTGAGTGATGAGGCATAAAACATAAAGAAATGCTTTATAGTAGCTAGAAAGGAGAAAATCTAGAAGATGAAAAAGTAGCTAAGTTTGTGTGGCAGAACTATGCTAAGCTCTTTCATATATTCTGGAGGAGGTACAAATGTACTTACATCTGTTTCCATCCTGTACCAACACTGTAACTCCCCCTAAATTAGTGGTATAAAACAATGGCAGTTTCCAGTTGCTTACGATTTTGTTGGTTGAATAGGTGATTCCTCTCCTGGTGTCTCCTGGGCTTTCTCTTGTAGTTGCATCCAGCTTGGATGTGCAGCTGAGCTGTCAGATTGAAAATAGCCTCCCTAGCATGACTTGCATAAACTAGAGAGTGGCTGTCTCATCCTTCAGTAAGGCCACGGCAGCTTCTTCTTCATGATGCTTTGCCATAGCTTAACGGTAGGGAAAAATTACAAGGCTCTTGAGGCCTAGGCTCTGGAATCACATAATTATACTGGTCACACAAACCACAAGCTAAGCTACACAGAGATGTGGAGAAATAGACTCCACCTCTTGATAACAAGAGCTGCAAAGTCACACTGCAAAGGGGCATACAAGTTTGATGGATATACTAGTCACTATCCTCTTGCTAGGAAAAAATACTCAACACCCACAACTTGAAGGAGAAGGGGTTTATTTTGGCTCACAGCTTCAGAGGGTTCAGTCCACACACAGCTGGCTCCAAGACACAAAAATGGCATAGTGAAAAGGCCTGGCAGAGGAGAGCCGCTCAACCCATACTAACAAGGAAGCAAAGCAGGGGAATAGTACCAGAGAAGAAGGGGTGAGGAACCAGGTTCAGACACCAAAGTCACACCTCCATGACCCACCCATGTGCTTTACTAAAACTTTGGGCAGTATACAAACCAGTTAAGTTGACACAAGCAAGCTTAACTATCACAGTTGGGAAGTCTGTGGCCTCTAAACTATCTACCATTTTATCATCATCATCATCATCACGATTCATCATCTCTGTTTTATAGATGCTAATTGAAAACTTGCTCAGATGACCGGGGGAGTGACACAGCAAGAAAAGTACACACACACCACACACACACACACACACACACACACACACCTGAACTCATAGTTACCTTATTCCCCACATATAGCATAGCACCTATTAGTGAGAGAACATGATTTGAAATACAGAATTCACTCCTCATTAATATTACTACAAAATTGTCCTAGCTTGATCTTGAGAGCAACAGCATATTTCTTGATTTTCTCTTTTTCCTCCTTTTCCATCTCTTTTCTTGCATCCTCACTTGATACTGTGAGGTATCTGGCTGTGGAAATGTGTATGCTTGGGCCAGTACTTGCACTCAAAACTCTCTCACTCACTCTCATATATTCTCTCTCTCTCTCTCTTTCTCTCTCTCCCTCCCTCCCTTCTCCCCCCGCCCCCCCTAATGTTAACCCTGGACATTAAATAAAAGAAAAACACCTGGGAAATAGTGAAGTAGTGTTTGATTAATGTTAGCCACTGCTATCACTATTAGAATTAAGAATCAGTTCCCCATATGGGGTGTGCCCACACAGTAACCTTCTCCTTGTTTACCTGACTGGAACAAGCCTGTGTGGCTTAGTAGCTAAGGAAAGCAACTAACAAAGGAGGAATGAAGGATATGATCTTCCAAATTTTGAATTGATCTCCCAAATACATTTGCAGAAAAGTAGACTTCCATGTCTGATGACGTTCTGGATTATGTATGTGTCTTAACAAGTACAAAGATAATGAAAGAGGA